TGCCGCTCCTGCTTCCAGGCTTGATTTAGTCGGGAAGCTCCAGCCAACACTGTCCACCATGGGTGTCCATTACCACGATTGGCACATCACTGTCACAGGCTTCAGCATCACAGCAACCACGAGTTACCTCTTTACAGCAACACACAGAACAGTGTTATACCAACTAGAAGAATGTTTGACAGGAAGACAATTTGAACCTGGCCGAGGGCCACAGAAGAAAATCACCCACCTTCGGCTTGGTAGCACAGCTTCCTTCCACTAGACCAACGTAGCTCTCTCTTGATCGTCGTCATTGTCATTTAGTAGAAACCGCCCTTGTTTCATTTATGTTTTGTATTTATTTCTTCTTATTATTAATTTTAATGAAAACTTACAGAGACTTTGGATTTCCATTCATTCATTGTTGCACTTCTCTCCACTTTTCTAAATCTACATCATGTTGTTGTTGTTAGGTGCTGTCAAGTATGACTCATAGCAACCAAAGATCTGAACCCTGCTCTCTCCTGCGCCATCCTCACACTTCCTGACACACAAGAGCCTCTTGTGGCAGTCACTGTAGGAGAACTATTACTTTTGAGAAATGCTTTAGCAGGAATAGAAATGCTTTGTAATACGGTAGACATTCAAGGATAAAATCCTGTCATGAACAGATTTTTTCTTTCTAGAAATACTCTCATGATATAGTGCATTACACCAAAAGGTGAGATGTTCTTCTAATCCACTAACTTCTCTGAGGAAAAAGAATGATAAATCTCCTGTAAAGATTTACAGCTTCAGAAACCTGGTGGAGGGACACCATGAGGCCGAATGTACTTGACAGCAGTAGGGATGTAAGCACAGGAAAACCCATCTTCCCCAAACGTCAGCAGTGCAAATGTAATTCAGTTTCTGTGCTGGTAAACGGTTGTTGTCAAGAGCTGTGGAGTTCCTTTTTGACACACAGCACCTTCATGTGGCAGAGCAGAGTTGCCCCATGAGGTATGTATTCTAGGCTGTGCTGTTTAAACGAGCAGGCCATTCTCTCGGGAAGCCACCGAGTGGGTTCAGACTTGTAACCTTTCAGTTAGCGCTCATGCGTTTAGCCGTGGTGCCACCATTTTAATAACTCTCATTTGTTTCTACCCCAAACGCACTGGTTTCTCTCTAGCTTGAGAGACCTCAAATCCATATCTTCTACATCATATCCAGGTCATTAGGAAATAAAGCTCCACGTGAACCACCAGTAACCAAACTATAGCTTCATTGTCCTGGACATTCACAACCAGGAGTTCATGGGACAGTAAAAAAAATTGGGTCCTGGAGGACATTATGCTGGGTGAAATATCTCAGTCACAAAAGGACAAATACTGCAAAGTGCCTCTGTTGTAAAATGGGACTGACATTGGGGTTGGGGTGAGATTGAGAAAGATGGGATGAATTATATATACTACATTGAAACAGATGAGAGTATTGTCTAAAAGGGATATATGATTAGGTATTATTGTCATGACAGGAGTCCAGAACGAAGGTTGCACAGGGGAGTGGACTTGGGGGAAGGAATTGTATACCAATGAAAGAATTTTTCTTTTACTTTTCAAAGAGAAGAATGAATTGGAAGGGAGGGGTGGGCAGGGAGAAAAGTGCAACAATGAATGAATGGAAATCCAAAATCTCTGGAAATTTTCATTAAAATTAATTATTATTATTATTATTATTATTATTATTATTTAAAAGAATGGGTCCTATCTTATAGGACACTCTGGTAGCTCTGTGGTAATGAGTTGCACTGCCAACCCAAAGGCATGTGGTTGTAATCCACCAGCTGGCCCTTGGAATAAAGATGGGCAGACTCCTCTCATGAATAAATTGCTTCTGAAAACCCACTGAAGGGTCAACTATGAGTTGATTCCAACTTGGCACTGCACAACAACAACAGCTTCTTGTTAAGGATGATCCCGTTGCCCCCAAGGAAGGGTTTGATTACTAGAGTGGCAGATGTTGTGGTTATTGTTGTGTACCATCCAGTCGGATCCCACCCATAGCTGACCTTCCCTCCAGTGGTTTTCAGAGGCACTTAATTGCATGGGAAGAGATTGCCCATCCTTCTTCTGCAGAGCAGCTGGTGGATTTGAACTGTGTACCTTCAGGATTGCAGCACAACTTCTTGCCACTAAGCCATCAGAGCTTGAGAGAGATAAAGTGTGAAATATATGCTAAATATTGGGCCTGCTTAGCTCTGGGACAAGCAGTTATTGAAAGAATCCTCACTAGAGGTCTGTGTCTCATGTAGGATTTGTCGTCCTGGTCTTCTGCCGATGAACTGGACACTTCAGGATCCATGAGTCCCACATCAGGAAGGAGCACCCCAAACCGACAGAGAACGGTAACTTGCCACTGGTGATTTTGCTTTGGCCCACACGAGAGGCACCAGGGAATGACATGAGCAGTGTTCCCACAGGATCCACACTCCCTCAGAACAGAGCTCCCACACAGACGAGGGTGTCAGAGAGTGTAGTCCTGCTTCCTGCGCCCAACCATGGGCCCTCCCTGCATGCAGTCAGGAACCCTGAGGAGCCAGGGTGCAAAGTGTGGTTGGTATGCAGGGAGACCAGTGACTCTGGTTGTCCTAGAGTGGTGCACACGTGTTCCTACGGTGGCAGCTTCGTTCTAACCACTGCCATCCTACTCACTGAGGAATGTAGCATCCCACATCAGGAGGCGCTCCACTCAGAGGTGAACTAAAGGTGATTGTCTTCTCAGACCACTGGCTGGCTGAGACAAGTAGAGATTCTGTCTCTTCTCAAGCAAAGACACTCCTGAGTGGGGTCCTCAAAGCTTTCAGGGGCTCAGCGCCCCCAGGGTGGCAAGGAGCCCGGTCTATTCGAGGCCTCATGCAAGCGTGGCCTTGCTGGAACATGACACAGATGAAAAGGCAAATTTGGCCCCTGCTACCCTGTATACCTTGATTTCTCTGTGTAATTAGAAGCTTGATTTTTATTTTTATTTCTTTATTTTTGTCCTGCTTCGTAATGACAATCATTTTTTTATTATCATTCCATTTTCCTTAGTTTTTAGAAGTATTGACTGTGTTTGTTCATTTTTTTTTGTCATAAATGCCTAAGTTCTATGCTGAGAAATGCGATGATCTTATTTTAGTATTTTGTTTATTTTTACTACATTCACTAGTTTCCTGTAGATTCTAGTTTAAGAATGTGAAGGAATACTGGCTTTTCAAGTCAAATTTTAGCCCATGATTCATTGGAATATTGAACTTACTGGGTTCTTATCACTTTGGAAAGAACTTAAAATGACATAAGTTTGCATCTACCAAGAATTTTTAAGATACTTCAATGTTTTACAAAATAGGGGGTGGATGAACTACCGATAAAGGATCTTTTGAAATATATGGAAGGGTATACTGAATTTTATGGTTATTGCAAGTAAATATACAGAGATATTTGAGTAGAGTAAAATAATTTCTATTTCTTTTTTTTTTTCAAATAATTTCTATTTCATCTAGGGAAAGAACAGTCACTATGATATGTATGTTTCTTCAGTGACTGATGTTAATGTAGACTGGTTACATTTCTTCAGCCAAAGAAAAGCCAGTTTCCTTAAGTCCTGGATACTGATGATCATGTCATTTGATTTAGTTTTTCCTTTGCTTCACTTTTAGTTTCATTTTCATCAGTAGCTTGTCTTTATTTGCCTGGACTGAACACTCTTCTTTCTTTACCCCTGTTCATTGCAAACAGCCACGAGGCAAAAGTAGTCTCTCCCAGCCTGGACCCTCTGTCAGCAGTCCACATAGCAGGTACCTTATTCTCCTGGTTTCCACACTGTTCTAGAATTCCAAGAGGATGATGAAAATTGCCCATGGGCTCGGTAGACCTACCTCTGGTCTGCTTTCGGTAGTGAGAAATGGCTCGCTGCGATCCATACCGTCTCCTATTAAAGTGGTGAGGAGTCTTCTGACTTGCCCTGCATTCGTAAATCATTTGGCTTCCCCACTAAACTTTGGTTCATCTGTGCAAGGTCAATTGGTACTTCCCGCTGGCTGGTATTCTGTGTGTGCATTCGCCTTCTCTCACACATTATCCTTTGGTTTAGGCGGACTTTCATCATCCTCTTTATTTCTAGAGTTTACAATGAGACAGGTCATAGGTTAATGACTTATTTTACCAATTACCGAACCCACACGTCTGAATAAAATATACTACTAACATCCCCGGCTTTTTCTTTTCTCTTCCTGTTTTATCCAGATTGTGGGTTTGGGATTCCCAAAATGGCAAGCCCTAATTTGATTCTTTTCACTTTAAAATTGATAAGCACTTCTCTCTTCTGCTTACCTGAAAACCTCCCCCAGCCAGCACACCCAGGCACCCACTCACCTTCCTAACACTTGGGAAGCCCAGTGCCCGGCCCCCTTCAAAGGCTGGTGACAGCTGCCACTTTGTGTTTCACTCTGCTTCCCGCCACTACATTTCCACAGCTCGTAGCTTGGCCTTGTATCGGTGTGATGTCTGTGCTCCTTTCATCTTCCACTAATCAGCCCCTGGGTGCCCCCCCAAACCCCTGACAAATCCTCTCAAGTGGATACGCTCTGTCCTCAGAGCTGGTTTTCATGCTCATCCCAAATTATACCCCGCTGGAGAAGTTAGTCCCTCTGGAAGCCTGCCACCACTGAGCAGGAAGGGAAGTTCCTGGGGAGAGTCTGGGGGTGTGTTAGCCCCCCAGAGTGATCCGGCCTTCGCCAGCTGCGTGCAGCCTGGACCAGCTATGGTCTATGGTCCTTCTCACTCTCTGGAGTGACGCAGAATGTATTTCCATGTGCTTTCTGGTTTGAAGTCGCCTTTTGATAGTGTTCTTTTCTGTTTGGTTTTTTTTGTTGTTGTTGTTGTTTTGGTTTTGTTTCTTTTCCATTTGGTTTGATTTGAAAACAATTAGTTTTTGGTTTTCTGCATGGTAAGACATCAATAATAAAACTATAAATGAAGGAACCCACACAGGGGCTTTCAAAGCTAATGATGGACATTTGTGGATGCCTTAAGACCTTAATTTGATAATAAGAATAATAAGAAGAGTGCACTGTGGATGATCACAGTGGTATGTCTGCATCCTGTCATTTTCCTACCAGTTGCTGGAAGGCCATGAGACATGTGGCCGCCCCCGTAGTTTCCTTTAGGGTGTCATGGCCGTGTGCCCTCCCACCGGACAGAGCAGAACTGTCACATCAGGTTTCCTAGGCTGACAGCTTCAGGACAGCAGGTCTTTTCTCCCACTGAGTGGCTGGTGGATCTGAAGTGCCGACCTTTAGGTTCCCAGTTGAATTCTGAACAATCGCACCACCAGAGCTCCTTCCCTTGAGGAGACCGGAGGCCAATTCTTTGGATGCTACAAATGATGGTAACGGAAAGGGGGAAAGCCCTATGCTCCCATAAAACACCAAGAGCACTGACCCTTGCTTCTTGGAGGTTGATTTGTGCCAGATAAGTATACTCAGAAGTATCCCGAGTACCCACCCTCCCCGGTCTTTCAGGGATGTGATATCTGAGATCTCAAAATCAAGGGCAATCTTTTCCTAGGGAAGCAATGCTTCAGGGTGTCTCCTAACAGGGCTTTGCTGCCGGGACAGCCACTGCTTTCCACTCTGCTCTGCCCAGCGCTGTTTATTAACATTTTCTGATCAATCCGAACATGTTCATCCAACTGGCCAGTGTCATCCAACATGCTGGCAGACAGGCCGTTGGTTGAGCATGTTTGGACTTCTTAATGCCCAGGCACCTCTGTTGGGGTGTGCCCAGCTCGGATAACGAGATGCAAAGTGAACGGGGAGAGAATTCACTTCACCCGCCATCCAGGCTGCTACAGTGTCCTTTTCCACTGAGACTTGTAAGTACCTTGGGTTTGATTTTGCACTGGATCAGCACCTTTGAAAGGCTGTTGTTAACAGCATTAACCCCGCAACCTGTGGGAGAAAGATTTCAGACCTGGGAAAGTGTCAGTGTTCTTCCAGAGGGAAGGAAGAGGGTAAGTGGGAAGAAAATAAGAGTCAGTTTAAAGGCAATGATTCCATATGTGTGCTTCGACACTGAAAGATTAGTAGTAGTAGTAGTAGTAGTAGTAGTTGTTGTTGTTGTTAAGTGCCGTCAAGTCATAGACGGCTCATAGCGACCCTATGAACGAAAGACCTGAACACATATAACTTTCATCATTTCTCTAAGTTCATAGAGTTTCTAGAAGCAAACTATTTTGGAAGTGGATGCCACTTCTGCTTCTAAGCCTGTTTTAATCGGGAATCTCCATCAAACACTGTCCACCACGAGTAACCATTATCACATTTGACACATCAGTGTCACAGTGTTCAGCATCACAGCAACCACGAGTTACCTCTGTACAGCAAATGGACAGACCAGTGCTATACCACTTAGAAGAATGTTTGGTCAAAAAACAATTAAAACCAGGCCTGAGGGCCACAGATTAAAATCATCCACCTTTGACTTGGTAGCATCACCTTCTAGCCACTTGGCCAACAGAGCTCTCTCTTTTTGTTGTTGTTGTTGTTAAGTGCCTTCAAGTCATAGATGACTCATAGCGACCTATGAACGAAAGATCTGAATACTTGTATAATTTTTGTCATTTCTCCGCGTTCATAGAGTTTCCAGAGGCAAGCTATTTCAGAAGTGGATGCCACTTCTGCTTCCAAGCTTGTTTTAATCGGGAAGCTCCGCCAAACACTGTCCACCACGAGTAACCATTATCACATTTTACACATAAGTGTAACCGTTTTTAGCATCATAGCAGCCATGACTTACCTCTGTACAACACATGGACAGACCAGTTCTATACCACTTAGAAGAATCTTTTCCTAGGAATAACAATGTCAGTTGCTTGTCTGGTGCATGTCTCAGTTTGGCTTTGTAGTCATGTAGTTCAGATCCGCCAGTGGCTCTGTAGAAGAATGGAAATTGTCCTTCCATGCAATTTATTGCCTCTGAAAACCCTCTGAAGGGTGAGTTATGAGTTGATTCTGACTTGATGGCACACAAACAATTCTGTGATGTCTTAAAACCATATATGCATTTATATGGAGTAATGCTGGGATTGACTGAGCACCCACCATGTGTAATCCCTGGGCCTACAAAAGGCACATGGTGTGACTCCTGCCATTAAAATGCTTGAAGCTGATCACAGTCTGAGATTCCCAAATCTACAAGGAGCCTCTCCAGCACTGACAATAAAATCGGTGCATGCATTCCCAGTAACCAGGTTCATATTTTTTATTTGCAATGAAACATATTTGAGAAGCATATTTTGGGAGCAATCATCCTTCCTCATGGTCCTACTGGTACAATTTTGTTCTTATGCCTTAAATTTTCTAGTAAATAACTCTTCAAAATACCAATGTAGCTTCTTTTAGGTGACAGTCCCCAGGGTCTAGCTAGGCACTTTGAGGAGTCCACTAGCAAATCAAAGACATTTTCCTGGGCTGGAAAAGCAAGGGCTGAATCCAGCCCAGCCACCCAGGACTTGTATCAGCACATCCTCTAATATACTGATTGTGACTATGACTTACTACCATTGAGCACCATGCTATGCAGTGGGAATCCACCAGCCAGAAAAGGATGGGCAAACTCCTTCCATCCAATTAACTACCTCCAAACCCCCCCCCCAGAGGGTCAGCTGTGGGTCAGGTCTGACTCAAGGGTAAAACAGCAGCAGCAGCCCAAAACATCATACCAAGCATTGTATATGCCACCTCATTGTACCTTCACAGCCACCTCAAGACATCCCTTTAGGAACTGAGCTAAGCTGACCCTCTAGCTGGTTTTCAGAGGCAGTGAACCACACAGGACGAAATTGTCTCCCACGGAGCAGCTGATGGCTTTGAACCATGTACCTTTAAGAATGCAGCACAACTTCTTACCACCAGGTCCCTGGAGCTCCCTTCAAGGCATCCCTACAATCCCTATTTTCTAGATATCACACACACGCGCGTGCGCGCGCACACACACACACACACACACACACACAGAGAGAAAGAGAGAGAGCAAGAGTGAGAGAGAGAGAAATAAAAATATTTGAGTTTCTGAGGAGAGAGAAGAGAGTGAGAGTGAGAGAGAGAGATTGATTGATTGATTGATTGATTGATTAATTTGAGTTTCTGAAGCTATGAATCTTTCGCCTTTCCCCTGGGGAGTCATTCTCCTTCAATCTCATTGCCATCAAGTCAGAAATGACTCATAATTGACCATCTGTTGGGTTTCCGAGGCTGTAAATCACATGGCAGGAAATTGCCTATCTTTCTCCAGAGAAGCTGCTGGTGGATTCGAAGCATCGGAGAAGCATGACGTTTGAGTTAGCAGTGAAATGCCCTACAGACTATGCTTCCAGAGCTCACTGGTGGATTCAAACCACGAATCTTCTGATTAGCAGTTCAACACATCACACATTGTGCCACCACATCCAACTCAAACTCAGTGACTTGCCATTGAGTCAGAGCTGACTTGTTGCAGACCCCTTCAGTGGGTTTTCAGACGCTCTGTGTTATGGGGGAGGAGAAGGCTCCTCTCTCTCCCACCACGCGGCTGGCGGGTTCAGACTGCAGTGAGCATCCTTACCCACGAGCCCCCCAGAGATTTCTGTTACACAGCCAGGGCTCCTTCCTTGATAGATAAGAACACTGGGACTGAAAGTGACTTTCCTAGTGGTTAAGGAGTTGCATTGCCACCGAGAGGCAGGCAGGATCTGCTAGCTTCTCTGACGGAAGAAGATGGGTGGGCTTGTCCCATGTGATTTGTAGTTAGATGTCGC